CTATCAAGAAAATCTACCTTTGCTTCAACTTGTTAACCTCTGAAAGAAGCCTACGTATGCGTAAAAGAGCCGTTCCCGTGCTGATACATAGAGAAGAATATCCGGTTGTCTTTCAACTTTCAAGTTATTCATCAGATATTCATCTGCTAATACATATAACCAGGCACTTCCTCCCTCTCACATTTACCATCGAACACGTTCATGATGCAGAATTCCGTCACATCTACATTTTGACGCTGCCTCCATGCAATCCAACAATATGCCACCGACGTACTATGCCCATCAGGCACCGGACCATGCTCCGCCAGGCGCGTTACTTGGACGAGGTTACCACCAGATGAATCATCAACCACCCATTCATGCCGTGGTCCCATCCAGAAGGCCGGCCGAAGAAGACGATGATGACGTTCAATTTATCTCAGAGAAGCCTGTGAAGAGACATAGGATCGATGAGAGACAACTTGTCACAGCCACAGCGCCTGTACTGCAAGCGCCGCTACCCCCTTCTGCTATTACTACTGGGCCTATCATCGTTCCGAATATTCCCACAGCAACAATGGAATTACCGGGGGGCGAGTTGAATGATGCAGAAAGACGATTGAGTACAGGGATGGTTGGCTTGCTATCAGACTTCCATACTGTCGAACTCGCTTACGCCTTAAGGGGCGTATCCATGCCTATGCTAGAGAATTTCGCGTTTGACCAGCCGTTCCGCAGACACCGACCATTAAGCCCCCCAGAACTCTCTCCAAAGCAGCTCCCATCTACGATCTCACCTGCAACGCCTAATGTCCCAGGCTCTGGGGCTACGCTCGAAGTATCCGGGTCTATGAAACCCTCAGATCTCTCAGTAGCTCGCACAACCCCAAGCAATACATCCCCTGAAGTGAAGAGGCCAGTCCCAGCATTGGTACCAGACTTAACACGGACGATACAAACTACCAATCAGCTTCGTATCTCGCAAAAACCAGGTCACATGAAGAATTGTCCTGCGCCAGTCTCCCAAAGTCAAAGCAAAAAGATTGGGCCAAAAGATACCAATAATCCACCTCGTGCCACTCCTGCCTTACCTCGTGCCGAGGCCGCTCATACATCTTCATCCAATGATACCTCAAATCAGCCGGAGGGAAATAATCACCTTAATAACACTTCGGCTCCTCCTCAGAAGCAGCCGTGCCAAGTCTGTGCCCGGATGAGACATCAAGCACCGTTTCCCCGAGCACAGGTCATGCCAATGGCGAAAGCGGCTCTCCCTCTTCACCTTCAACCACAGCTACACTACCATGCGCCTTATGGCCAACATATGCATCCTCACATGATGGCCCCTCCCACTAGCAATGTACACCAATTTGGGCATAACTTCTCACCGGCAATGATGCCCGTCGGCGGTAACTCTTCCATGCCTCCGCCATCTCCCTCACAGTCTCATACGCCACCACAGCCGGTCACTCCTCGACAAGAAGGAGTCGACAAAGACAAACAATCTGCTCCCGAGCAATCCAAACCCACAGAACCGCCCCAGGTGACAGAGCCGAAGAGTCCAGCTAGCAGCCCCAAGGCAACCCCCCAGAGTCAAATAAAGCCCCCTGCATTTCTCATTCAGCCCACATATCGTAAGCCCTCGCCCAATCTCATAGTCGACGTGGCCGAAACATGCCAGGAGAAGTTCCCGTTCGAAGAAGTCGCGAAGAGACATAATGTGACGGTGGACAAGGTATTCGAGGTCTTCGCCGCAATTATAAAAGTGCCTCTCCTGCGGTGTCCGACGGATCGTCGAAGGCCGGGGAGGCTAGCTACTACGCGTATCAAGGAGTACAACAAGGCGAAGAAGGATATTCAGGATTCCAGAACTGATAAACCTGATGCTGCGGAACAGGAGCCTACGGTGGATGCTACTGATGTTGCCCAGAAATTGGGACAGGTTGAGTTTCCGGAGGGATTCACTTTGAGCCGGAAAACTTAAGTGGGCGGCGTTCATGGGACAATCACGGGATGCATAACTAGAGTGGCATTGAGATAATGTATGATCTTGTTTAATAGAGTGTGTTCATATGCATCATTGAGTGGCTGATACAGCTCGTTTAGTAATTGGACTTGAAGTTTAAGTATTTGAGCATGTCCACGGCGAAGTTGTGGAGATAATTTTCGAGGTCTCGAGTGGGCTAGCTGACCCATCTTCTCCTAGTAAATTCAACAATACAGATAGCTTGAAGGAACATTCAAAGAACCTAGCTATCGTGATGCTAGTTGTTTGCTAGTCATTGCGATCTTGGTGGTTCTGCTTCTCTTGGAGTGCTTAATTAGGGAGTGATTTTTATCAGATACCTCGGTTATCCGGCTTCATAACAAGTCGGACCAGTCCAGGCTCGGTATCCGATTCTGAGGTAACAAGAAGTCAGCATCCATACAACATAAGGACGTTTTTAACGAAACGTGGTGTAAGGGACCTTGCTTACGCCATGTGGGACTGGAAAGAGGAAATAAGTAGTATTTGCGCTTTGAGTCCGGTAGGATACCATCTAAGTTGTCATATTCGTGAGGGTAACACGAATCGTCGTCTTCGTGGAGGGACCTGGCCTGTTCTGCGGATTGGCGCGGTTGGGCTTTCGTCCAGTGTACGCCACCTCAGCGGATTACTCTTGGGATCGGTCTCGGCGACATGGGTAATTGGTATGTGTGAGACAATAGAATATGCAGCTGAGGGTAAGGTGGACTCAGGATAATGAAAAATCTCGATCTCGGGATGCTAGGATATGTCGATTTGATAATGATAGAATCCGTTGATCTGGGGATGGTGGAATACGTAGCTGGACTTTCGTCCTGGACGCCTCCACGGCATATCACCCCGGGATCATTTAATTGACTGCATCGAGGTAGTGCCTCGCGAGAATTGGGGCTGACCTCCGTAGCCTATCCCAACGCCCATACCTAGGTACTCCTTCTATTTTTTCTTTTTCCGCCCCGCGGTCGCTTTTCTAGCCCTTTCCGCGGCCTCTTGGGCAAGACGATGTGCCTCCATGACTCTTGTTTCAAGGCAGGATGGACATTCTTCGTTATGCTTCAGCGTATAATTGTCGCCGCACTTGCCGCACATCGCAATGTGGTCATCCTTCACGCATCGATACGTCGGCGCTTTTCCGCACGTTGGGCTATAGAGGCTCGCTGCCGCCCACCCCGTGATGCTTCCCGGCCCTCGCTTCCCTTGTTTCGTTCATGGGGCTCTACGAGCCCTGCTTCGTGACACCGCGCGAGCTCGATTGATGCTAGCATCGTCACCTGAAACGTGCTATCGTGCCGACGGCCTTCATCGCAGGTCGGGAGCAATTAGCCGCCCTCAATTGATAAAGCTTTGCTATGCTTCTTTAGCAGACGATCTACTCCGTTATACTGGGTAGCTCGTCTGTCTTCGCGCTTCGCTCGCTTGCGCTGCTATACTCCCCCTTGCTGTAGCTGTAACTGCTCCCGCAGTCCCTCTCGCCAGTCACTTGATCGGGTTTGTTATTCGTTTTCAAATCAAGTGGCATGGCTGCGGTTTCATAGACTTTGCGCGGCTCGGCTGCGATTGGCGGCCGTGTGTGTGAAGTAGTGCCCCGTAAGGGTGTGCCCCGGAAGATATTTCAAGTCGTCATCAAGTCCAGGATATCTCTTAAATAAAACGAGCTGCGCAAGGCGGTTGCGTAAACTGACCTAACTTAGTTGTTACTGGTTATGGTACGTGCTCTCCGCAGTGGTGCATGTTCCTTCGACCGGTGTTTGATTTTGATCAACTGCTAGAGCCGGCCCGGACCAGCTATAGCCGTGAACAGTGGTTTGGTCTAGCTATAGCTGTTTTGGCGGCTTTGGCTGGTCTGGCTGATTTGGCTGATCTGGTTGGCTATAGCTGCGAAGGGGTGGTCTGGTCTGGGAATAGCTGCTTTGGCCGTTCTGACTGGTCTGGCTGCTGCAGGGCTTGGTCTCGCGATCTGGTCTAACTGTGTGATCTGATTCAGTTGCGCAAGCTGGTTTGGCTGACCGGTCTGGTTGACTGGTCTGGTTGACTGGTCTAGTTGTTCCGAATGTCATTCGTGTACCTTTGGAAGATGAACTGCAACGGACGGCAGGTTTGAGCAAGTAGACCAAGTATATGAGCTCGAGAGGTAATTGCAAAAGATGAGACGGCTTCTGCTGTGACCTGGCCTGGGATTAGTCACGGACTGTGAAGATAGGATCACTGTTGCCTAGTAGGAGCTTCATCAAGGATGGGTAGTTAGGGGTAAGGGCTCAATCTCCACCCCGTTTCCATGCAAACAGATCTTCTGTTACGGAGTAGTAATAAGTGGTATATATAACACCAACCGTGCCATCACGGTGAAAATAGATCGTTATCATGGGAGATACTTGACTATTTGTGCTCTTTTATATAAATAAATAGCATTCAGGAAAATTGAGTTTCAAAGTGAGTATATAGTAAGCGCTCATTGCTCAATAAACTGTTTTATAGCTTTCTGGGCTTCCGCAATAACTGAACAGGACTTCACGGACTTATATAAGCAGACCGTCTTAGAGGCAGGACTAATAAGTTAGCAATAATTGTATATGATTACAATTATTGCGTTCATAGCAATCAGGGTGTCTGCAACAATTATTTTAGCTTTGGTATAGTTGCTAATAAACAATCCATAAAAGCACTCGCTTGTTTTCTAATTGCTTTTTGTAGTTTAATAGGAAGCTTGTGTGTCTCTAATGAGTGTGTATGATTTATTTTACCTACCTACGACTATAGTATGCAGTGAAATCATTGTGTGCCACACAATCACCATGGCTGTTTGTGATATAGTTCCAATACAGCAGGCAAAAATATGGAGATATTCACATTTTATAGTAAATGCTCTTTTGGCACTGATATTGTGATACAGATCATGACTAACTGGTATCCAGGAGCAGATGCTTCCGCGAAAATGGCGCTACCGTCAAGACCGTCAAGAGTTCCAATTAAATCGTGACCCGCCATCGAATCACAATCTCGATTGGTCTAGTGGTAAGGATACCTGCTTGTCATTAGATGTTAAGTCATCAAGTAGTCAGTCCGCAGGTGGCCGGGGTTCGATTCCCCGATCGAGAGATATTCTTTTGAATGCCTTCGCTGTGATCTTTTTAGTTTCCTCACCTACCTACATTTTTGTGCTAGTCTTGTATGGTGTCTACTCTACTTACTTCCGACAGAAATTTGCGTACTGTGTGCAACTCTGAGCGCTTAGAAAGATCTGCCGTAGATGAAGACCATATAGTTGGAGCCCTAACTTGGGTTGAAAGTTATTGTGCAGCAGATAATAGGATCAGGTATTCAGTTGCAGACTCACAGAGTGGACGTATAGCGACTGGCCGCTGGACCCTTTCTTTTTTTTTAACTTCTCTTTCGATACGTCCTTACCAATGTGTCCTTTCTCGAACCCGTCTATAATTCGGGTATGCAGACCGCAATCTTGGCTTTCACCAAACCGTCACATCTCCATAGTTTTCACCCTTTTTTTTATTATTCACCAATTTCACCTCTTCGTGTTGGTAATTTCGATACACGGGAATCCCTGGAGATCGGGCCATGTCCATAGTATCATTGAGCTAATTGGAAAGCTTCGTCTTCCGCAGAGAACGTATTTGGCTTGACAAATCAAGTTCTCAAGGAAGGCGAAGCTTGAGAAGTTCTAACGGTGAGCCCCAAAACTCTATAAAAATGGGCCGTCTTCCTATTGATCTAGACGGACTCTGCAACGCTGCCATTGGTCAGAGTCTATTTGAGGCATCAACCACAACGTATTCGCACTCAAATAGACTGTGTGGCTTACGTAGCGCAATTAGTGCCCAAGGTCCCTAAAGGCCACTATAGCCAAATACGAATACGAAGACCAACCTACTAACCTACCAACCTACCAACCTATCAACCTTCCAATTGACCAACCTATCAACCTTCCAATTGACCAACCTACCAACCTACTAATCGACCTACCAATCGACCAACCTACCAATTGACCAACCTGCCAACCAGACCAACCGGACCAACAGACCAACCTGCCAACCTACCAACCTACCAACCTGCCAACTAGCTAAATAGCCAACCTTGGTACCAACCAACCTACCTACCTACGGCTCTCGCCGTAGGCGAAAGGGGGGTCCCAGGGGGTCCCCCCCTGGTAAGTAAGTCGAAGGGGGTTCCAAGGGGTCTCCCCTAGTAAGTATTTAAATCGAGTACCTACTCGATTTTCACCGTATCAAAATTGAAAGCCCTCTCCAGTAACAAAGCTTTCCAATTTTTAAAGACAACTTGTTGGCGCTACATCGTATTTATATTTAAGCAGCATTACATAATACACACAAATTTTGTTCTCTATCTGCTTGTGATCATCATTAATTTCTTGCGTTATCCTGGTCATACTTATGCTGCCTATAGCCAGGAGTATGAGGTTTCAATGATTCAATGTACATATAGTACTCCGTACCTATCTGGAATTAAGTAGGTAGAGCTTGTTACTGTAAGTACGTGGGCGAGCGGACATAGGCCGGCATCACGTGCTAAATGGCAAACTCTTGCACCCCTCCACCCCGCCCATGCACGTAGCCATGGTGGGGTAGATACCTGAAGTTTCCCGTCATCTTCAAGAAGTCGCGGTGTACTGTAAGCTAAAAAAAGAACAGAATAAGCTTTTACCATCAGTTCGAATATCTCTCTTTAAGTCTTTGCTTATACCACAGAAAATGAGACTGGAAGATGTGCACCGGCTGGAGCTGCCGCCAACAGCGGACATGCACGTCCACTTGCGACAAGACGAGGTCTGTTACGGACTGTTCTGAATTGAGATGATATGGACTGACATGTTGTAGGTCATGAACCTAGTGGTTCCATACATTCTGAGGGGAGGTGTAGACACCGTATTTGTCATGGTATGGAATTATCAAAAGCGCTTTGAATGAGTGTCTGCAATGTGTAAACTGATATTCGTTGGTAGCCAAACTTGCAACCCCCAGTCACAAGTGTAGCCGCTGCTCTGGAATATAAATCCCGCTTACAGGCTCTCGAACCTCAAGTCAACTATTTGATGTCCTTATATGTACGCGGTATTCTCCAGAATTGAAATCGCATTGCTAACGAATTATGTTCAGCTTCACCCATCTGTTACTCCAGAAGTAATCGCCGAAGCCGCAAAAGCCGGGATTGCAGGGGTGAAGCTATATCCCCAAGGTAGGCATTCCACCACCGTACTAGCCAAAACTCGTAGTATTAAGAAAACACAGGAGTGACTACGAATTCGGAATCGGGCGTTGCTGGCGACTTCGTCGAGACCTATGCGCCGACCTTTGCGGCCATGGAGCAGCACGATATTGTGCTGAACTTGCATGGCGAGGTCCCCGGCACGGTGCCCCAAGATAACACCTCCCTGGAAGAGCTGTTTCTGCCTACTCTCAAGAGGCTCAATGAGAAGTTTCCGAAGCTTCGTATCGTTCTTGAGGTGACAATTGGCTCTCGGCAACAATTAGAGATTATTCTGACACTTGGCATTTAGCATTGCTCTACTGCAGCCGCCATCAATGCGGTGCGGGCATGCAGCTCAACAGTCGCCGGTATGCTTGGCGCGAGATTTCTACCTATCATCAACATCACTGACTGATGTGGCGGCCCAGGCACAATAACGGCGCATCACTTGTACTTAACGGGTGATATTAGTGAAGTAGACCCTCACGCTTTTTGCAAGCCTATCCCAAAGACGCCTGCAGACCGCGATGCTCTTCTGAAGGCTGTCTGCAGCGGCGATTCCAAATTCTTCTTGTCAGTATCACGAGTTTGCCCCCAGCGTATAGCTTCATGACCTAACTCTGTTTTACTTGTAGCGGAAGTGATAGCGCACCTCACCCTTTAGTCACCAAGCAAGGCAAACCTACTCCTGCGGGCGTATTTACGCAGCCTTATGCGACACAGCTCGTCCTCCTGGCCCTAGAGGAAGCCACGAAGAATGGAATCATCGATGAGAAAGACGTCACGCAGGAGAATATCGAGGGATTCTTGAGTCGGTTCGGAAGACGGTTTTACAAGCTGCCTGAGCCCTCGCCTAACGGGCCACGGATCGTGGCGAAGAGGGCGGTTGAAACGATACCGGCTAGCATAAAGAGCGCCGATGGATCCCTGGCCGTTGGAATCTCGAGAGCCGATGCTACGGTATTTAGCATACACTATATTTCAGCATAACTCAACCGGCTCTAGCCTGGAAGGACAAAATCTCTGGATCCATCCGCCATGATGGTAAAATAACGATTCTGCTAAACTGTTTACCGAACCAAATGCCCTGTAGAGTGTTAAATAATTGACTAAATCTACAATGCCGGATGACGTTGGTAATCAAGGGACTTGTCTCCACCCTGCAGAAGCAATTGGGGTGCATTAGCCTGCATAGGCAGACCGCGCTATCTTATCGGCATGTTAGTAACCTCATATCCCCAAGCTCATTGCCAATTGCGACGAGCAAACTCGCTGCGTCAAGAGGAGTTGTTCAATTTTCAAGGATGAAAGGAACGGAAAAGGAAAGAGACTCTGATTTCTTATAGCCCAGCATTTACCCCTCACTCCAGCCATGGCGCATATGACGAATCCGCTCGCGACAGTGGACCAGCTGTACCGGCGCGCATCTTCGTTCGGCGCGCTACCGTCGGACCTGCAAGACGCCATCTTCTTCGCGACGCAGAGCCTGACGCAGGCCGCGGGCCTCCTCCTGCGTCTCCCGCAGTCTGTGACCGCTCAGGCGGGCGTCGTGCTGGCGCGCTACTGGCTTGAGGACTCGATTCTCGCTCACGAATTCAGCGTGTGTACTTCTCCATCTCCAGCTCTATCTCGTGCTCTCCTTCATCTAGCAATGAGGCGTAAGATCGTAGGCTAACCATACATGCGTATGCGTACACAGGACGTCTCCGCAGCCTCTCTCTTCCTCGTCGCCAAGCTCAGCTCGCACCCATGTCGAACCCGCGACGTCTGCAACGTATACGCATACCTGCTCTCCCCCGCCTCGCCGCTCTTCCGCACACCGCCGCCCGACCCAGGGGCAGAGTCAAAAGCAGATACCGACGCATCAAACTACTACCTCTCCGAGACCGTATATAGCAAATTCCAAGCGCGCATCCTGCGCATCGAGGCCCTGATCCTCCGGGCCCTGAGCTTCGACACGCACGTAGCATTACCGCACGCACTAGCCATAACCTATCTGCAAGCCCTCGACTTCAGCTTCCGCGACGGCGAGAGCGGGCGGACGCGGGCCGCGCACCACGTTATCGCGTACTTGAACACAGCTCTACTATCTCCGCAACTATTATACTTAACGCACCAGCCCAACGCGCTCGCCGTCGCGGCGATATACAGCGCGGCGCGGGACCGAGACGTCGCGGCCAAGATGCCCGAGTGCGCGTGGTGGGAGGTCTTCGACGTCGACCGCGAGGAGCTGGGGTTTCTGGTCGTCGGCATGCGTAGTCTGGAGGGTCTGGTGCGGAAGCTAAGGGATGATGTCGAAGGGTTCACGAGGAACGGCATGATTACGAGGAAGGACGTGGATGTGGAGATGGCGCGGCGCGGGTTGGGAATGGTGGGTGGGAATGGGAATGGGACGGGCGGTAATCAGGCTGATGAGGTTGATGAGGAGGAGGCTATGATGCGGAGTTTGGATGCGAAGGCCGAGATGATGGATGAATGAATAAATAAATAAATAAATGAGTGAGGGAATCACAATATATCAAGTGGTTTGCATGATAAGGAGAGGAGAGTCATTGTTGTGCTAATACCCTAGTCAACACCACTTTTAGTTACAGAGGGCTCGACGCAAAGATTCTGAACCGTGATCAGTAGCATCAAGCATATCCATCCTGCAAATTCCATCCCAGACTTTCCTATCAGCGTCTGCTCGCACGCTTCTGTCCATGTTTTCTGGATTACACTATCCGACCTTCTTGTGAGTTTTTTTTTTTTTTTTTTGTCTTCGGATCCCTCGGCTTCATCTTGCAAGCTAATTCGCCGGAGCAAACAAGTTTCTGATGTAAGTCAGGATGTGTACGGCGAATTCGTGGAGACACTTTGCGAGGTCTAGAGTGATC